GCTACGGGAGGAGTAGATATTGACGACAGCGATCACGAACGAGAGGCTGAACTTGATCGCACCCACCAGACCCCAACGTCCTCATCGTCGGTATCGCAAAAAAAATATCAAAGCATCTCGTTAAATGTTGGCTTGGTCCAAAAAGTCCCATGACACCTGTGCACATAAAGTAAACCGACACAGTGGCATGGACCCTGGTGCAAGGAATAAAATAGGAACCTCCACCCCGTGTCCAATTTCCCCTCCAATCCCATGGGTCTCCGGTGCAGTTGCACCGCCTGCACACTCGATAGCTACGCCGCTGAACCGACAATAATGAATCGCGCATTAAGGGCGGACAAATTACACCACGCGCAGCATGCCACGTCCCCCACACGTGCTCGGAGACCTCATTTTGAATGGCCCCAAGCCACCGCAAACTTCTATTTGATGTTGCAAACGTTGCGGCTGAGCCCAGAGGGCCACCGCACGGCTACCCCCCCTCGCCTCCCCCCCCTCCGCCTGCGCCATTCTCTACGAGAGGGCCACCCGCGTCTGGGCACGCGGCGCGACCAGGCCACGCGGCGGAGAGGCGCTTCGGGAAAAGCGCGCCTCTCGCACATCGCGGTTCTCGTCGTCTCGGAACGGTGTCCAAGAAGCACCGCGCGTCTGCCGCGTGGCGGCGGGGACGTTCTTCTGGCCGTAATAGGTTTTTGAAAACGGATTCGGCCGCGATCGTTGAGCCTTGTCACGCCGCCAGTTAATACCAGCCGCGGCCAAGAGGCAGAACACGTGGTGGGCTCTTGCCAGGGCCCCCTTTTTTATTTCCGAGGTCTTGGCGAGCGGCGGGGAAGGGGGGTGCGGTGGGAGTGGGGGGGGGGGGGGGTATTTGGGGGGTGGGGGGCATTCTCTCATTTGACAAAAATGGTCTGTAGATGGTCCGATGGAGTCCGGCACACGGCCGCCGCGAAGACGGCTATGAAGACGTCGGTGATTAGCGGACTTGGACCAGAAGCCAGGCGGCCGTGTTTGCTTGGCGGGAGGTTGGGCGAAGTAGTCTCCGGCTGAGCAAGGTTGTCGCTGTTATGCATGTGCGTGTGTACGTTGAACTTCTTTCGCGCCGTACCAAGCCGACCGTCCTAAACGGAGGTGCGGGGGAAGGGCAACAAAATTGCCGCTGTGCGCGTTCTTGGCTAGGTGCGCGTGTAATGTACCGCGACGAGTTCGTGCGCACGAAATTAAACAACTCGTGGTTGGCAGAAGGGGCTGAAAACATTTTGCCACGACCACCAACAACTACCACCACCAACAACTACAACAGGAGCCATTGCCACTCGGCACTAACTGACAGTGATGTCACCACAGCGCCAGGCTCGGTGTACTTTGAGGCCAGTGCATTATTAACAAACACCGCTCAAAAATGTTTATTTTTGGTGTTTGAACATCTTAACAACCGTTTTATTGGCCGAAATAGGCAAACACCTATTCTTATTTTTGTTTTAACACTTGCTCTATAATTGAGAACGTTTATTTTGGTAGGGTTTTCGGGCAGTAGTCCTCTCGAGCAGAGATGGCCAAGCAGAGGACCGCGAGTTATTGTTAACGGTATCTTTTTAACGACGTGCCTCCTTGAAAAGTCTGAAATTTTGACAAAACGCTCGGCACTGTTTATGGCTTTCAATTACGTTTCTTTTTTTCCCGTTTTTACTGGAAGAAAAAAAGCGATTTTTTTTTTACGACGAAAACACATGCCTTCCGCGTATTTATCGCTTAGCTGGTGTAAGCGGCGGGGCGTGCGAGTCTTGTTTTAAACGCTCGCCCGCCGCTGTGTAAGAGTGAAACAACGTGCGATCGTGTGCAAGTGGCATTTCTTTTTTTCTTGTTTGAACTGGAAACCGATGTAAAAAAATTAAACATCTGCCAAAGTAAACCGAATCATAAACTGGAGCAAATGTTTCCGCCCTGAGCTCTGCCCTTGGCGATCGCAGTCGCGATACCTTGGCAATCACAGTCGGTCGCGATACCTTGGCAATCACAGTCGGTCGCGATACCTTGGCAATCACAGTCGGTCGCGATACCTTGGCAATCACAGTCGGTCGCGATACCTTGGCAATCACAGTCGGTCGCGATACCTTGGCAATCACAGTCTGTCGCGATACCTTGGCAATCACAGTCAGTCGCGATACCTTGGCAATCACAGTCAGTCGCGATACCTTGGCAATCACAGTCGGTCGCGATACCTTGGCAATCACAGTCGGTCGCGATACCTTGGCAATCACAGTCGGTCGTGATACCTTGGCAATCACAGTCAGTCGCGATACCTTGGCAATCACAGTCAGTCGCGATACCTTGGCAATCACAGTCGGTCGCGATACCTTGGCAATCACAGTCGGTCGCGATACCTTGGCAATCACAGTCGGTCGCGATACCTTGGCAATCACAGTCGGTCGCGATACCTTGGCAATCACAGTCGGTCGCGATACCTTGGCAATCACAGTCGGTCGCGATACCTTGGCAATCACAGTCAGTCGCGATACCTTGGCAATCACAGTCGGTCGCGATACCTTAGCAATCACAGTCGGTCGCGATACCTTGGCAATCACAGTCGGTCGCGATACCTTGGCAATCACAGTCAGTCGCGATACCTTGGCAATCGAAGTCACGATACCTTCATAATCACAGTCGCGATACCTTGACAATCACAGTCAGTCGTGATACCTTGTTAATTGCAGTCGCGATACCTTGGCAATTGCGATACCTTGGCAATCGTGAAAGCTTAGCAATCACGATCACGATGCCTTGACAATCACAGTGGCGATACCTTAGCAATCACGAAACCTTGGCAATCGCAATACATTGGCAATCGCAGTCGCGATACCTTCGCTTGCACGGGATACGCATTCTCAAACATTTTGACAATCGGCAATGCAGCGAAATCTACCGGCCGTACAACGCACGCAAAAAAATTCCTTTCAGCACAAGTAAAGGAGGTTTCAACTTCCAAAAAAGTAATAAATTTGTAAGGAACACGCTGTTACTTTCAATCACACAGCACTGTATTTGACAGATTTTTTTTTTAAAGCTCGATCAAAACGCGGTATTTTCATGGTCTCCAAAAAAAGACGCAACATCCTGGCTTTAATCCACCTGGCCAAAGAATGCATTATTGTTCGATATAAATAATACTTTCCAACCCAATTACACACACACACACGCGCGCGCACGCTTGAGTGCTAACTACAGTTTAACATGCCCCTTTTTCCCTATTTTGGAAACGGCCTGCGCATGTCCTTGTATAGACTCTACAAAGCCACGCGCCACCACTCGGCAGACGCGACGCTCATCCGCACGTGACACCGCGATGACACGCGCCCAAATCAGCAAGTGCCCCACGCGCTTACAACCTCTGACGCTCCGCATTGGCGCCAGTAGGCAATCGAGAAACGGTGCAATTTAGTTGCCAAAATTGTGGATAATTGCCACATCTTTTGCTGTGTCACCAACGCAACACAAACGTCCTTGGCCTCGTGAGTAGCATGGTGGAACTGCCTGTAGATGTTCCAACAGAGCTGTAAGATCTGTTCAGCGTATACGCTTTCCCGACCAATGTTATCCATGAGAGTTTTTTTGGGGGGGATTAGATCGCGTAAATAACGACGCATTTATATTTACGCGATTCAAGCCAATTTAGCGAATGCTTTTACGAGCTGTAAGATGGTCCGTATTTAACGGCGTGTACATGTCAGGGTGTGTACGTGCGTGCGTATGTATTTATGTGCACACAGCCTGGCACAAGCGCCGGGGTGAGGTCACTGCCACTTAGTGGCGAATGGCGGTTGTTGTTGTTGTCATGTGGAGAGCGGTAGCGTCGTGGTTAGTGCACTGCATTCTGTAAGGTGGTGGTCTCAGTTAGATTCGTGGCCATGGCTTACATTAGTGGTGATTCTTTCAACCGATCCTGGATCTCCCCTTGGGTCGTCTTCGCTTTAAATTAGTACCTGGTGCAGTGTTTACATTTCAGCACTGGGAAGACAAAGGTGGCCAGGTGCAGTGCTGACCACAGCACTCCATTGTACGCCCATGGCCTTAATAAGTGCTCACCAACATCACTTGCCCAATCAATCGTGTGGCTATGTGTGTGGTATTTAAAAGCTAAAGGCACAGCCCCGCAATTGCTGCTCACTACCACTGCTGGTGGAAGGGGCACGACGAGAGAAACCCTGTATGGAGAGCCCCTTTAGAAGGTATTTTGCCTACTCTTCCATGCTGCCGAGACGTCTTGTTTAACATCTGTGCAAAGGTTGTGTGTGTGTGTGTACATAGCCACGCAGATGAATAATTGCATTACATTTCATTCAAATTGGACGCAATCTGCTTGGTTAAAGCCAATCAGTGAGTGCATTGTTGGCGTGGCGTCACCCGCTGACGTATTTAAATCTCTCTTTGTCGACTTCCAAAAAAAAACCGTGCGGTTTAAACCCCCCACCCCCCGGCTGCTTGTGTACATGATAAATTGTCATTGAAGGCCCTGGACATGATAAATTGCCATTGAAGGCCCTGGACATGATAAATTGCCATTGAAGGCCCTGGACATGATAAATTGCCATTGAAGGCCCTGGACGCGATAAATTGCCACCCAAGGGCCACGTGGTCCGCTGATCGACTGTGGTGGTACCCATTTACACTGCTGGGTGTTCAGAGGCGGGGTGATGGTGGGGGAGGCGGGGAGAAGAACTTGAAACCGTGACCTCTAGATTGCAAGTCCAGCGCGCCAGCCATTCCACCACGGCGGCTCCCACCGTTATTGTAACCTGACCGTTATTGTAACCTGACCGTTATTGTCACCTGACCGTTATTGTCACCTGACCGTTATTGTCACCTGACCGTTATTGTCACCTGACCAAGACGACGGCGCCGTCACCGTGGCCCCAAGCCGCCGATGACTTTGCCGCCAAGGTGAAACTGATTCCCGCGCGGCCGCCGGCGACAACTGCCAGGGATTGCAAAGAGGCCCAACTTGCCGTCTTGTTCCGCAGGCGGATGATGTCGGAGACGGAGCCGGCCCCGCAGAACTCCATCACGATCCACAGGTCCGTGTCCTTGAAGTAGCTCCCGTAGTACTTCACCACGTAGGGGCTGCAACGTAGGACACACGCGCGCGCGCTCGCTGAACGGTTGCCTCACCGTGGCATAGAAACGACGTTATCAGCTCAAGGGGTGCGGCAATCGGTCAAGTTGGGCCCTATTATTTGATTTTTTGGCCTGTATTTGTCAATCGTGATGAACGAAACTCCATAAAAATTACATTTAAAAGTGTCATCAGAATTGTGAACTTTCCATGTTCATTATGATCCAAATTCAATCTGATTTTTGGAGAACCCCTAACTTTTATGCATGAATCTCGGGAAGCTCTTGAGCTACTTTGGGCCATAAACATGTGCTTACTTAGCTTCTGCCTCGTACCTCCACTGGAGTTAAGCAAACAAAGCAACCCACTGGGTTGGTGGTAGCCTCACATCTGCCCTTTGCCGGTTCGCACCCCTTTGCCTAGCACAGAGCCACATGGCCGCATGAGCTAGGCTACAGGCAAAGCCATTGCGTGGCAGCTACAATACATTATCAGCTCAGGAAGTGTGGCAATCGGTCAGGCGAGCCCCCAACATTTGATTTGTCTCGCACGGTCGCTCCCAGGCTATTCTATATCGCGGCTCCTCTTGCCTAATCACATTATCGTTACGCTCACGGTCTCGAACATTTAACGCTGTAGGGGCGCTCCGTCTTCTTTTTTACACTGTTGTTGAAAACATATCTCGTGGCGGTTGTCAAGGGGGCCCCAACTCGAACTTGGCCACCAGGGTGGGGTGAGCCTCAGGCACCCCCTGTCCCCATGCTCGTTACGCTACCGGTGACTCGTGTGGCAACCCCCAACCACGCAGTGGCTGTCCTCATCCAGCAGTGGAACCACGACAGGCCTCTGACGTGTCCACGAGCAATTTACGATAATACGCTTGATGATCGGTCACGTGATGCCACCCATTCTCATCACAAACGGCGACACTTAAATGAGCTCGCTCAGTGGTTTTCCACCTCAAACAAGTTCTGCTCACGAACCGGAGGCAGCGGCGGAAATTCCACATTCTTATGGTGGGGGCGGGGGGGGGGGGTGAATTCTCGACATCGCACGACCACGAAGTGGTAGTCGTTTTTCAACCCCTGCAGGGGGGTTTGAATTCAACACGTTCTGATTTATCGGGAGTTTCCATTCAGATATAGGAGACATCACTCGATCGATTATAATTAGCTAGGTGATGTATCATTTTGTCTCATTTTCGGAAACAGAATCGATGCTCCTTCGTAGCTATTTCTGACACGGCACGTTGCGAGTCATGCACACATTTACAGTAGCACCCAGCAAGGCTGTAACCGGTGCCTTCACTGGACGAAATGTGAAAGCCACGCGTGGAAGCATTCGCTAAATAAACTTGACATAACCTGTCGAGCGGAGCTTACGTTGACGCGACACTTTATCACTCCAATATTCTGAATGTGTTTATTCAACACCATTTGAAGAACATCCACATTTAAATAATGTTTGGTGCGTACACGTGTTTTTTAGCATGAGGTATAACTTTAAAAAAAATATCTGCCCTACCAATTTGTCGGGAAAAAAAAGTTTTAATTCAATTCATAGCACCTATTCCTTGAACAAAGACGTGAAGGGAACACTCGGCAATTGCGAGCCGCGCTATGACCACTCTGGGCCAGCGGCCACACTCGTACACCTTCATGTATACGCACGCACCACCACGTACGTACACAGCACTTTAGTCAAGCCAATGCTGGATGAGTGCATCCCCACAAGGCGCGGGATGGGGTTGGTAAATGCGGGGGAGGAGAGCCGTAGGTGGCATAGAAGTACGGTACGACGATGGATTTTGCCGCACTGCCCTCCGATGTACACAAACTATCCCGCAAAAAAGATATTTTACGTAAGCCCGGTACAAAACGCCGATCACAGGACGGAGGTGGGGGAACAGAAACTAGGTAAACAGCGACCCAATTTCGGCCCGACAGGGCCCTATGAAGGGGGAAACTTGGGCTCACTGCCCCACCCAGGTGGGAAGCACATGCGGGGAACAAGGAGGTTGACATGGGGAGGGGAAAGGGCTACGTTATTGGCCTCAAACACGACCTGTTAGATACACGCATGCACCGTGTCGCTTTGCATCAACGCCTCCTTCACGTTGCGCATCAAAACAAAACAAAAACTCAACACGTTCGTCGACAACACTGCAGCCTAAAAAGGGGAAAAAAACATAAAACATACATCATATAATTGGAGACGTTTCTGGAATGGCTCTTCTTCGTAGCACGTAAACAGAGAGTCCAGAGAGACAGAGTGGATAGTAATAGTTGGAAACTTTACACCATGGGGCCTGATGAGAATAACTTTTTAACCCATTCGCATTCTGATGACGTAAGTGTGTGTCATCAGTTTTGTACACGTACGTTATCGGAACGGGATCAGAAGAAGGTCATGCGGGAGCGCTATCATAGGGTGCGGTCGTGTGGCTACAGTTATCTGCGGTCAGTACAATTTCTTTAAAAAGAACCGTGCTATGCCTCTCTAGATAAAATGAACGCTAACCGCTTGCACGTTCTGACATTCTGCAGGGAACGAGGCCCACCCTGCAACTCGTCTGCGAACAGGAAAGGCTTCAAAATGTTTTATGATGGACTTATTTTTTTAATTGTTACTTCACTAGATACCGATTCGTAGCTGTTGGGTAAATAGACAAACCCTGCACAACATGGACATTGCATCAAGGATAAAGATCCCCCGTGCAGCCTTAACAGACTGCTGGGGGCAAGTGCTATTAGCGAGTAGCACCTATGAAGGCCGGCAAGGCACACGAGGGGGTGGGCGGTCAGCACCATGCCCTGCCGCCTTTGTCTCCCTAGTGGCTGAGATGTTTACTACACACCGCACCAGGTACTCATTTGAGGCTTAGTCGACCTAGGGGAAGGTCATATCCCACACATACACATAACACGCAAGCACACACACACGCACGTGCACCTACACACAAGAGTCACCTGTCACACTGCTGCATGATGGAGATCTCCTTGATGATCTCCTGTAGTTCGGACTCGACAGGCACCTGCTTGATGGCCATCACCTGCCCCGACTCCTTGTGGATGGCCTTGTAGACGCTCCCATACGATCTGGACGACGCGTCGGCATCGGGAGGCAGAGACGCACACACACACAGAGAGAGAGGGGAGCTCGCTCCGTCAAGAGGCTCTCCGGCGGCGACCCGAGGGATGGGGGTGCGGTGACGGCGCTGGCTCCACGTGGCCCCGTCGCAGGCCGCTGTGTCCTTCGCGCTTGCATGGGGGAGCGCAGGTAACGGACGGCTTTGGTGGAACGTCTCCATCGGAGCCGAACAAGCTCTCGCGGACGCGCACTGTTATGCTCATCGCTGCGAGGTTTTGGTGAAATACATTTTTTATTTTTAATGTCTATTCCCCAGGACGGACGTGAAATGGTCATGGTATCTTCAACTGTAAGACTGATGCGGCCGTGCCGGTGCGCTGCTTCGCTCCGCGTACAAATGTATGCACGTCACGGCGTGTCATCGATGTATTGAACTAAAATTATTAAGCCATTTTTTTTTTATTTTACCAGGTAAGGCCCCACTGAGCTACTACATATCTGTTTTTCAGAAGCGATCTGGCCACAAATGACAGCTCTACGGAGTGGCTTGTAGCGTGGAAATGTATTGCAGCCAAATACTCCACATCTAGAAACGCATGTTTAGAAATGCGTGCGTCTAAATGTGGAGGGGAAAACCGGAGGACCCGGAGGAAAATCCACGCGACCACGGGGAGAGAGACACGCAAACTCCAAATTATACAGGCGTCAGGGTCGGGATCAAACCCACAATCTCCTGTATACCAGGCGAAGCATGTATGTATGTTGAACTTCTTTCGCACTGTACGTGGCCAACCATGCTAACCCGGCACGCGAACATTATTTTGTTAGTCTCGCGTTCCCGTCTTCGGTTCGCCGTGAATGCCGCCAATGGGGAGAGCGTTCACGTGAGAGTTTGTAAGTTGCCGACAATGGGCGCGTGGAGATCGCACGAGAGGGTTTCCTTGCAGCCGTCTCCGAAGCTGAAATGTGGCAGCGATGAGCCACAAATGGTTCAGAGGCGTCGTAAGAGCACGGAACCGGGCGCAAAAATACCCTCCGAAATTAATTATCAAGTTCGAAAACAACGCAAGGAGCATTGTGGTAAGCCCCGGGAAGCGAACGCACCCGCAAGACAGACGATCGTTCACGTTCGCTCTCTGGTGTGCACAACAACAACAACCACCGCCATTCGACACTAAGTGGCGGTGACGTCGCTACGTCGCCTGTGCCAGGCTAGGTGCACGTTGAGGCCACGCGAAGCGGTCGAACGCCCGCTGGCAGCAGGAGGTCACGGGGCAGACCCAGCAGGTGCCACGGGTCGACTGACCGAGATGACTGGCCGATGCACACACACACACAAAAACAAATATCCCTCCCCCCCACTCCCTATAGCCTAAACAGACTGTTGGGTCTAGAACTGTTCGCTAGCACCGAATGAATAATGAAGGCCAACACGGCACACGAGAGGGAGAGTGGTCGGTACCACGCCCGGCCGCCTTTGTCTCCCGAGTGGCGATGTTTACTACACGCCCCGCCAGACGCCCGTTTGAGGCTGCGTCGACCTAGGCGAGGCCCGGTGCCGGGTTCAGATATTCGCGACTGTTATCGGGTCGTGAATCGAGCTCGGGTGGCCGAGTCCACAGCACGGTGCGCTAACCACTGCGCCACCGCTCCCCACACGTGGACTCTGCAGATATTCACCGACCTGTCACTATGCAGCAGTATCGCACACGTTGACAGCGGCACGATATTTGGCGATTAAAAAAAATATATTACTTTACGTTTTTTTCCAATCCTGATTTGAAGCTTTCGTGACTGCAGGAATCCATACTCTTTGGTTCTTTCGGTAAAGTCACGTAGGTAGAAATACAACAAAATAAAACAAATCACGACGTTTCGATCGCAACACAAGTGGTCGTCATCAGGAAAAAAACAAACGGGTTTTTTTTTCATCCCGGGAAAGGTGAAGCTGTGACGCGTCGCAGCTACACACACGGCACAGTCCTGTCGTGATATCGGACATCCTTGGACGTGAACAGCGGCGTGCGCCTGCGTGCGTGCGCGTGCGTGCGTGCGCGTGCGTGCGTGCGCGTGCGTGCTGGAGGGACACGTGAAGGTTGGGTGAGGAGACGAGCGCGCGTGGCGGTGCGGGAGGAGGAGGCGATGGATCGTACCCCTCTCCCAGCTTCTCCAGGACATCGAACACCTCCTCGGGCTCCTTGCTCAAGCTGTCGTCGCTCAGTTTGTGGAGGCCGCTGGTCAGAGGGAGGGTGGGTGGGGGGAGAGACACGAGAGCGAGTCGGACGTTCGCTCGCCACGTGCAGCGACAACCGCAGGGAAGTCGGCGAAACTGAACTAAAAAAAGCAAAAGAAATAATCCCTGCGTTGGATTTGGCCCAGCGGCAAAAAGGTAACTCATTTACGGCCGAGTCTACCTAGGCGTTTTGCACATCCTGATATCGGTAGGCAGCGGAATGGTGAAGGAACTTGTGTGGGCAGCACCACGCTCAGCAACCTTTGTCTTACCAATTCTGGTGTTGACACACCCTCCGATCATCACGGCTGGCTACGTACGATGCGAAAAGCAGTTCAACGCGCATACAATGCACCAGGCACTCATTGAACGCCGAGCGAACCTAAGGCCTAGGGGCAGATTGATATAGCAACTTCGCCACATGTTAGCCATGGCTGGCAATTGGACCCAGATTCAGCGGCTTCGCGGAGCTCGGTGCGCCAACCACGGACGCATGCACGCGTTGCGCAAAGTAGTGGGTGATACGATCGCAATTCATCACGAAGCGGCGATGACGCCACCAGAGCGAGCACCTGTGCCAGGATCGCACACAGACAGGCGCGGAGAAAGTGCGATTACATCCGCGCAAACTACACGTGAAGACAAATATCCCCCGTGTAGCCTTAACAGGCTCGTTGGGGCAAGTGCTGTTTGACGACTAGCACCTATGAAGGCCGGCACGGCACACGATTGGGGTGAGTCGCCAGCAACCACGGCCGGCCCCGCCTTTGTCTCCCCGAGTGGCGATGTTTACAAATCGCACCAGGTACTCATTTGAGGCTGAGTCTACCTAGGGGGATGCCGAGGACCCGGTTCAGCTAATCGTCACTGGTTGCTGGCCGTGAGCGGGACTCGAACTCGGGAGACCGGGTACGTAGCGCAGCGCCACCACTCCCCATACGCACACACGAGCATGCACACACGCACAACCGCGGCACATGGCATCATATAATAACTAATGGCACACAGATTCCAGCACATTTACAAGATAAGTCGGCTCGAGTGCTCTAAGTAGCATTGAGCATGCCTTAAAAGTAAAATAATCTTTTCCATATTATGTGTGTGCGCATGCATGAGTATTTAGTAACGACCTTCATTTCGCCAAATCTGCAATGGATCGTGTTCTCCGCGTAATGCTGCGTTACCGGGCAATGTTATTTTGTGTTGTAGCACGTGATCACCGTTGCAGCACGTGTTCACCGTTGTAGCACGTGTTCACCGTTGCAGCACGTGTTCACCGTTGCAGCACGTGTTCACCGTTGCAGCACGTGTTCACCGTTGCAGCACGTGTTTACCGTTGCAGCACGTGTTCACCGTTGCAGCACGTGTTCACCGTTGCAGCACGTGTTCACCATTGCAGCACGTGTTCACCGTTGCAGCACGTGTTCACTGTGCACTATAATGTCTGTAACCAGACCTTCTGGGTACAATTTTTTAATATTAATTTTCGCCGTTCACCCTTGCAAGAGAAAGAATGCAAAGCAAAAGTGTTCGCGCGCGTGCGTCTGTTCGCGCGCCTTTGTCTTTTCGCATGGCACCGCGAGTGTGTTTTGTTGTTGTTGGTAACACAGAAATTAGACATTGTACGAATATTCTTGGTTCTTTCGGTAAAGTGACGTTGAAGGGAAACAATAAAATAATAAAATATATACAACAATAAAATTCTCACGACGTTTCGACTGCAACACAAGCAGTCATCATCAGGTGAAACATGATGCAACACAAGCAGTCATCATCAGGTGAAACCTGATGATGACTGCTTGTGCTGCAGTCGAAACGTCGTTGTTTCCCTTCAACGTCACTTTACCAAAAGAACCAAGAATATGAATCAGTGCAGTCACGAAAGCTTTAAATCAAAATTGTACGAAAATTTAACGTTGACCCTTGAAGCGGTGCAACAGCGTTAACGCGCGCGCAGAACAAAATATCTGGCACTCGGTTATTACCACGGGATGCTAATGCGTTTCGTGCAGATACATTTTTCCTGACATTCTTGGCTTTCCAACTTTCCTTTTAGGCCCCCCCCCCGCCCCCCGACTTCTACCAGAGGCTTAAGTTTCTAATGAGCCTGGGGGCTGGTAGGAAATTGGAAGTGTGGCATTTCTGGTGCTTAGTTACCTCGCTTTTAAAGACCGCCGGCTATATGCATGCCATGGCAATAAGTTAGCAGATATAATATTCACGTACCGTTCGCCTTGCGACGGTGGCTACAGTTTCGCACGGGAGGTTCGCCCCGCGCGCTCTCTCCGAGCTTGCAGGGCGAATGTGCGTTCGGGTTGCCACCTCGGAGGTGGAAATCAAGACGGCACACGTGTCGTGGGAGGTAGAGGCAAGAGGGAGGATGAGGAAGACGATCTCGCAGTAACTGGAAGAGGGGTGAAATACGTGCAAATGGATTGCCCCGAGTGATGTTTTATTACGCGATGGACAAAAAGAAAAGAAAAAAACAACGGCAAATTTAATGCCTCGGGAATATTTACAGATTTCCCAGGACAACTGCCCTCTGAGATTGTTGTGTTGTTCTTCTTCTTTCTGCCGCATTGCTCAAGCGTGAGCTTGAATGGAGCTTACGTAAATTTTCATCTTATTCTTTATTTGTATTTAGTTACCTGCTTGCCTATTTCTCTACTTTTCACTCCTATCGGTTTTTTTTTTGTATCGCTTGCTGTTGTAACTTGCTGACCCGCCCCTACTGGACATCTGCAACCTTATGGCGGTACCCCGGGGTACCATAGTACCCCGGCTCTCGCATAATGTCCGTGATGCAGTCGTTTTTAGTCTGTTGATGGTCGGCGATTGTAGCAGGCAATCGACTCATCTCGACGAGCCGTACACGATGCACCACCACCATTACGGTGCGTACACGAGCGTTCAGGGTTTCGGCGCGATCGTCCTCGCTGCGTTTCGACATCGCGGGATAGCACCACCGATTTCGGATTGATTGCGACCGCAGTCGCGGAGTTAAGTAACCCCCCTGGAAAAAAATAGTGTCCCAGAAATAAAGTATTTTATTGCCTTGGCCATTCTGTATTATTTTGGTACCCCGGGGTACCGCCATAAGGATAATCTGTCAAAAAGAGCTTCATTGCTCATCGGAATCATCCACTCTAAATATTCTGATTCTGAAGAAAAAGTCCTGGGGGGGGGGGGGGGGGAACAGGACAGGTGACAACCCGACTGCCCAACGCAGCCCCGCACTCAAGAGGATCACTGCTGATTGGGCCACATTGCGCATATGTGCCTCACATTACCCCTGCGCGTCTCGCGTGAAACACGGAGGGCAGTAATTAATAAATAAATAAAATCGGGAAGATGAAAAAACGCGCACCTCCCGAGCAGATTGTAACCACATTGGCAGGCCTAGGAGAGAGTTTGCAGGCAGCAGGGCGAACGTTTTTTTTTTTTTTGCGAGCGCTCTCGGTCACTCGCAGCGGCGTATGGGGCAGGCAGCGGTCACCCGAAGGTTCTTTTTGTTTTAACAAACGGCCAGGGAACGATCCCGACCGCCAGTGGCCCGGGCGTCAGCCCACTCTCCTAGCAGCGGCTGCAGCAGCGGCAGCGGCGTATGAGAGCTGCGCGTGTGGCATTTCACGACGAGTCCCGGTTGGAGGCGTGCGGATGATCGTCGCATCAGGTGGACGGAGCGAGCGAGCTGGGGAAATGATGACAAAACGCACGTGGAGCGGCGGAGGCCGCTTCCGCGGGGCTTCTCGACCGGCACTCGGCAGCGAGGCCGAGCGGCTCAGCATTCGTCAGGCCAGAGAGAGAGAGCGAGCCGAGTGAGCGGGGAGGGCTCAATCGTAATGGTTAACAGGCTCAGCCGAATGTTTAGAGCAGATGCTTTTTGCATTAACACCCATAGATCACCGCTTCACTACTCCCAGCAGACCTGTCAGATCTCTCCCTCCCGCTAAGTCGTGCTGGAGTATTTTTTTCCCCTCTTCCACACCCCTCCCCATTTAATGCCAAAAGTCAACGCCGAACACACTTTCATGCTGGTAATTTACAAAAAGGAGCAAGCAGCGCAAACGGAACACACCTGAGCGCTCGTGTCCACTCCGTGGCGACCTACACCTGAGCGCTTAGTGCTGGCCCGAGAGCCGGGGGCGGCGGGCTAGCCACCGGTCACCGAATAGCCAAGATCCGCGTCCGAGCGTGCCACTCGTGTGACGGTTCTCTCTCTCTCCGGTGACATCACTCGACGTCGCGCGTCTCCGTTTGACCATCGATGCCTTCTCCCCCCCCCCAACACACCCCTCTCCACCCGCCCGTATAGGCGCTCTGACACGTTCCCATGCTTGTTTTTCGCTTGCCGGCTGAAAACGGCGTAGACCGTCTGTAAAGAGAAACGGGGCTCGCGTAAGCCAGGAATTCACGCGCAATCGCCCTGCAAGGTGTTCGTGCGTGCGTCGTTTATTTTGACCCGGCGCTGTGATTTCGTTTTGGCATCGGGTGGGAAAACGAGCATCGGGGAGAGAGGCGAGTTTGACCGACATCGCTGCCCCGTCACGAACCAGATGCTGTTCTTTTACAATTAGGCTCGCGCACTGGTGACACTAATATAAATGGAATTAGCCGTGGCGTTGTTAGGCCCGGATCTGAGTGTATCCTCCAAATGCTTTCCAGACTTTGTTTTGCAATGCAGAGGCTTCGACGTGTACTTTCGGCAAGCACCTGCAGACGTTTCCAGACATTATTCACAATGCAGACTTCAATCAACGTGTTCCAGCAAGTGCTACGTTCCGACATTATATTGTTTAATTGTTTAATCGGGTTAAATATCGGTATGGTCGAACATACGCTGGCCTCACGAAGCTAGCCTGATCAAATATTTAAAATAAATATATGTTAAAAGCATTTAACTCAACTCATTTGTCAACAACACTGCCTTAAAATAAATATATAATAGGTGGCGTTTAGGCCAATGGTCTTGCTTCATAGCACATAACAAGGCCATTGAAG